GTTTTAGTCCCATTTTTTTTCTCTTGGTTTCGGTTTTTTCTCATATGTTATTTAAAATGTGTATATTGTTTGGGATGTACGTGTGTCTGATATACACATATACACACAATCTTTTTTAAAATTGACTAATTTTAAATATTTATTGATTTTTCTGCTTTTATATTTTATCCTGTATTTTATAGAAAGTCGTAGCAAAACCTGTATGTATGTATGTATACGTGTGTGTGTGTGTGTTTGTGTGCGCAAGTGTCGGTATATATGTATGGTTTTGTTTATCCATCCGTCTTTCTATTAAAAAAAAAATAATTGTTTTTATTAAATGGTTTAAAAACAATGGCTTTAGGATACGTTTAGTTTTTGTTGTTGTTTCTATGGTATAGTTAGCACATTTTTGTTTTCTTTTGTATATTAAGGAGTTAAAAGTACTTCTTAAATTTTACGACAAATTGAGCTTTAATTGTTTTTGTTATTATTGTTGTTATTGTTTGTTGTTGTTGTTGTTGTAAATGTTTGTTTCTTCTTTTCTGAGTATGTATTTCTTTTTTCTCTTCATTTTATGATTTAATAATATATATAAAAAAATCTTAACCGTAAGTTTTCAATTTTTTAATTTTTAAAATTTTGTTTAAAATAATTTTCTTCTCGTCTTTAAGTTTAAGGCTATTTTTTTTAATTTTTTTTTTATTATTTATTTATTTTTTATGTATAAGCATAATTTTCTTTTCTATTTCTCGGATATATGTTTTTTTTTTTCTTTCTCTTAAATAATATTTTAAATCGAATTAAAAATTGGAAAAAAGAAAGAGGAGAAGAATATATATATTCTATATATATATATATATATATATTCTACTTTTCATTTTCTTTTGGTTTTTGTAGTGTTCAAATCTTCTGTGTATTATTGTGATGTGTATATGAATTCGTTGCAAATTTAGCACGGTTTTGGTTGCATTTCTTTTTCATTCATTTTTTTTTTTTTTTTTTTTTGTATTATTATTACATTATTATTTATTATTGTTATTATTATCATTATTATTGCTATTTTATTAATATTAAAATAATTGTGTGAAAAATTTTTATTTTTTTTTTTTAATTTTGGTTGTTAAAAAAACGCAAACAAATAAATGAGGAATTCTTTCTATCATAAATTTTCTTCTCAAATTGCGTGACAACAAAATGTTGTGTGTCAGTCATTCGTTCACTTTTGCTTGTCAAAAAAAAAAGAAAGAGTTAATTGCACACTCTAGTTAGTGTTATTTATAAAGAAAAAATTAAAGCTATTTTCAGCGAATGTCTTTTTTTTTAAAGACGATGAGATGATTCTCCAAAAGGCCCTCTTCCGAAGAGAGACAGAGAGAGAGAGAGAGAGAGAGAGAGAAATGATATAAATTGGAAAATTTTATCATAAAAATATGGTGATCTCGGCAAGAGGGCTTGGCTTGGAAGGAGGAGCAACAAAAAAAGTGCATTTAACCTCTTCAGGTACTGTTTTATTAGAACATCAAGCCATAAGCTTTGCATATCTTATTTAATATCAAAATTTTTCATCCTTTTATTAATGGTAGTAATTTTAACTTAAAAAAATAACCCAAAGAGGTTCACTATACTTTTTTTTTTTCAGTAAAAATTTTTGATCTCATTAAAAGAATAAACAGGAGATCATATAATTTAATAATTTCATCTTACGGAAATGACTTGAGTACCTTTTTAAACAAATTACTCTTTTTGATATGCATAAATGCTTTCCAGATTGTAGTCATTTTGAATGTAAGGATATCGGCAACTTAACAAAGAATCGAAAACATTCCGATTAAATCGATTTCAAACTTGAATTTGAGAGGAACGGACGTTATCTAGAAAGCGCAAAGTAATACGCTGAAGACTAGGACAGAGTTTTTTTTTTAGGGCCGGGACGGTTGGTTAGTGTTACAAATCGCATTGACTTGATTATCGAATCGAATGCAGCGCAATGCAAAGACCAAATCCGGCTACATTTTGTTCTGAAAAAGAGTGCAAAAGGGATGATCTGTGCATTGAGAGCAAAAAACGTTTAGATTTCTGCGAGAAGTGCGGCTTAATGGCGATGAATAACACATATTTAATTATATTTTGCTTTTAGGAACAGAGGATTTTGGTCGCCGATAGCGGAGCGTGAGGTCATTGATGAATGCCAAGGGTTGAGTGAAGGTGACTAAAGCCAAATAACGAACTAGATAAACCATTTTGGATGTGCGGACAAGCGATACAAATTTTTGTCTACGGTAACCATTTTTTATTCTTTCTTTTAAATTAACAAATCGAAAAATAGTATACTTTTACTGGTAGTAGCACTAAATAGGGGAAAAAGTGTTTTGTTTGTTTTTCTAAATTTGATTTGGTTTTTTTTTTTTTTTTTCTCGGGCAATGCGAATGAGTTATTAATTTTGTTGGACTACACAAAAAAACCTCATTTATTTTCGTGTTTGAAAAAGCTAAAAAGCAATTATATAAGAATAAAATTAGAAAACACAAAAAAATAATGATAATCCTCTTTTTGCTTTTCGCTTGAAAGTCTACTATTATTAAACCAAATACATTTTGTTTAATTGAAATCTAATCTAAGTCTGATTATTATTAAATATAATTAATTAGAAAGGTTAAAAATTTTAAGTAATTAAGTTTTTTCCTTTTAATTTATTATTATTATTATTATTTTAATTTATTCTTTTTTGCTTCAAAAATATTTGAATTCAGTCAATGAGTTGAAGATATATATATTTTTTTTTTTTTTTTGCTTTTTTTGTTTTATTTATTTTTTATGTTTAATTTTTTTAAGCTTTGCTTACTAATCAAGATTCTCAAGATTTCAATAATGCAGAGAGATAAAGAAATAAAATATATAATTCGTAAACACACATATATTTTTTTAAAAAATATATGCTTTTACTATTTTTTTTTTTTTTGTGTTTTTGAATATTGTGTTTTTTCTTAAGCAATTTAAGGGGGAAACTTTTTTATAAAAAAAAAAAAAATATATAGTTTTTAAATTTAAATTTTGTCTGCATTTTTAATAGATGTTAATTTTCATTTATTATTATTATTTTTTCTTAAGAGTTATTTATGGAATTTATTGCTTTTTTACCGTAAATTTTATTTTTGTTTTTATACTTGCTTTATATTATATAATTGTAGTTACGTTTGCTTTTGAATTGAATTTTGTTACGTTTGAATTGGTTGGTGTGGTTGTTGTTGTGGATGTTGTTGTTGTTGTTATTGTTGTTGTTGTTGTTGTTGTAAAAAAAGTAAAATGTCTTTAACTCCATGTAGAAAACGTATCCGTATACCATTGTTCACCGTTAGTGCCTAATGGTTGTTGTGGTAGCGGTAAACTGCCCCAACTGCCGCCATTTCCTATTAAACCGCCCGGGTAACGTCGCTTAATATCTGCTGGATTTTGGTGACCTCCATCAAATTTACGTTTACCGACTACTACGTGATCTCAAGTTGAAAAATTTTTTTAATACAATACACAAAGAATTATTTGTATATCAAATTTTTTTTATTTTATTTTATTTTATGTTTTTTTATTTTTATTATTATTATTATTTTTATTTTTTAAGTAGTAGAACCAGAAAGAATTTGTTTAAGAGGAGATCAACATTAAGAGAGAAAAAGAGAAGAGAGAGAGAAAGAGAGAGAGAGAGAGAGAGAGCAAAAATGGAATAAAAATATAAATAAAACGATATTAATATTATTATAAAGAATCTTGTTTTATAAAAAATTTTTTGAAAGAATTTTATTGCATAAAATGAAAATCAATAAATAATACATAAATCAGAAGAATAACAAACAATAATTGATTTGATCTTTTTTTTTTTTTTGGTTTTCAAAACAAACGCTAAAACCAAATAAAAATTTAAAAAAAAAAACGGTCATTTAAAGAAGTCACCTTTTCATACAAAAAAAAAAAATTTTTTTTTTACACAAGACTCAAATTTTATTTCGATGAAAATTTCATAAAAATTTGGTTACATTACAATTAGAATTGAGTGTGATGATATGAAGGGAAGAGAGAAGAGAAAACACATTTTATACACGAGACAAAATTACTTCTATTCGAAATTATACAAAAAAACATCAATCAAATCAAAAGCAAAAAATTTCACATCACAAGGTTTGATTAGAATCAAAATGGTGGTTTAATGATTGGATGAAAAGGGGTTGGGAGAGGTGGGAAGAGGAATCTATAGGACGATAGGATTCGAAAATATGATCAGTAAGGTATTAAAAAAAAAAAGGGAAATTGATTGAATAAGTATTGCTAAAAATCTAAAATGTTTGCTATAGAGAGAGAGAGTGTGAGGGAGAAAGAGAATGCGGTAGTATTATAGTAGTAGCAGCGTTGATGGCGGTAGTAAGGCGGCGGTTGGTTTACAAAGGATTTCAACTACTACTAATAGAGGTAGAAAGAGAGACAGAGGTGGAGGAAGAGTAGTAGAGAGAAATTATAGCTCTTATAAATTTTTGAAAATATTAAAAATTTTTTTTTTTTTTTTTTTTGTATATACATTATTATGCATATGCACAGCTTACGGCCTATATATCGTATGTGGGGGAA